GCGAACAGTCCCGGAGGCGGCGGCAACCTGCGTCTCTTGCTGCGCATCCCGCGGGCACTGGCCGAGCAGTCTCACTCCCCCTGCCCTGCCCAAAGCCTCCGGGCATCTCCTGGGCGATCCTCCTGCGGCTGGCTTCTAGCCTGACAGATTTGCCCCTTTTTGTCCCCTCATCGAAAGCTAGCTGGCTAGGTAACGATCGCCTTTTCAGTCCTCCGCTCCTGTCTTATTCTCCCATCCTGGCGACCGAAACTTGGCTGTTCCCCGCCCAGGGCGGCAGAGGATGCCCTCCGGTGCCTTTTTCTGTTTAGCGTGAGAGAGTTAATTGCTCTCGCTAGTGTCACCGATGTCTTTCCGCGCTGCTATCCCGGCAGCAGTCCCGTCCCGGTGAGGCACACGCCAGCCGGCACAGGGGCCGGCACTGCCTGCCCTGCACCCGACCAGGTGGGCTCTGCCCCGCCGCTTCCGTGGGGCCGGCCGCGCTAGGGCTGTGGGCTGGGAAGGCAAACGCGGGGACGGCAGGTGGCAGGGCCAGCCCGGGCCCACTGCCCATCGCCCCTCGCTCCCGCCATCGCCAGCCCCTCGGAGAGCCTGCCCTGAGCACTGCGGAGCGCCCGACACCGGGCGGCTTGGCCCGGCCAGTGCCCCTGTACCCAGAGCAGGCTCCTCTCATCTCTGCAGGCGAGTGTGAGTCTGGACAGAGCTGGAAGGGGCTCTGCCGGCCAGCACCGGGGCTGGAACATAGTCGGGAGTTGGGAACAGTGGTCTGCAGGGGGCTCGGGTGCTCTCGGTCTCTTCGTCTTCCCGCCGGCAGCGCTTAGCACAGGGAGGGGGTGTTGGCAGAGCTGCCCAGCTGGACCCCGCTTTGCTCGGTGCCCAGCAGCACTCCTTCACTGGCAGCAAACGGCAGTGGGTATCTTTATGGCAGGATAAGCATGTCCAGGACCTGGCTACCCGAGCAAGGAAGCGGCTTTAAAGGATTGGAGAAAAAACAGCCTAAGGAGAAAGACCCCACCGGCTGGCAGTGATAACAGTCAAGGTTTTTTCCTACTTCTTTGCATGTCATGTAGTGCTCTTAATTCTGATTCAGATGAGGGCTTGGAGGCTACATTGTCTTGGAGGGCAGGTGAGCTCTGAATTCTTCCTAGCCACCCTGGGAAAGCTGAATCTGCCTATCACAGTCTCACTCCCCAGGGAAAGGAAGCTGTTGTACTCTTAAAGAGTTGCTGAAGGAATGGCATTGAGATGTCTGAACAGTGTCTGACTCTTCTTTAACATTTGACTGTATTAGTCTACTTTAGCCAAATGTGCCAGACAGGTAAAGATCTTGAAAACTTTACATACCATCAGTTTCATGAAAACTACTGTTTTCATGTAACAGTGCAATTAACAGACTATACTAGTTTGTCCTACTGAGAGAATGGCTTCAGCTTGTGTTCAGTGTTTATTAGACATCAGAGAACCCAAAGAGCGTTAAATCCTGCAGTACAAATCTGTGGAATAGTTGGCTTAATCAGCTCCACTGTGCATGTAACTTTTTTTTTTTTTTTTTTTTTTTTCCAAAATCTGAAATAAGACAGGGAAGATGTTCATCTGCCTTAGAATAAGAAATGTCCTCTTCCCAAACTATGACCCTTTCCCTTGCCTAAGTTAGGATGATAAGGGTTCATATATTGGGAGATGCCACGTGCAGTAGTTTTCCTTGATATTTAGCCTTGCTGAGGGCAGAGTGAGCCACAGACAAGTACTGGAGGTGCAGTGACAGGAGATACTGGTTCCCTGTTCATGGTGCTGAGAGCTGACCCAGTCAGTACCAAATGCTGGGGCTTCCTCTTTTCCTTGCTGTGCTCGATGCCCATTCTTGGGCAGGAAATAACTTTGAAACTCATGGAAACATTAGTCATGGTTAAACTTTCTCTGCTTTTGATTTCAAGTACGGTGGGATCAAAAGTCCCTCTCCCAGTCTCAGAGAGGACATGATTGCATTCTCAAATCATAGATCTGAACAGTTCATCTCTTGTGTGTTATTTAGGGTAAAGCTTGCTTAAAATTGGTTGGTACAAGCTTGCAGAGAAACTTCCACTGCAGCTGTACTGAGTGTCATATGGCTGCATTCAGTTTCAGCCTGCCTTTCCAATACAAACTCACTGATGTGTAGCTATGAGGTACAGATTTGTCAGTGAAAGATCCTAGTCTTTCCTTCCCTTCCATATTAACGCCCTGAAGATCTCCTTTTTCCTGCCCTTGCAGGTGGAAGCTTCTCCTCCCATTTGTTAACTCATAGATTATATTACCGTTTGGACTGCTAAAAAGTTGATAGAAAAACTCCTACAATTTCCTTAATTTATAGCCCAGATCCTACTGTGAATCTGAAGGAATTCTGCTCCCACTGATTAATTCCTCTCTGCCCATCTGCCTGTGGGATCTGATTGTGGCTCATCTCTTGGTAGAGATACTTGGGGAAAAAAAGGGTTCTTTCTCCTGACAACAGGGTAATTTCACTATGTTGTCTGCTGTTAAATGTGCTAGAGACAGGCATTGGTAAATGTGCAGCATATGCAGATCAGCTGCACTTTGAAAAGCTGTTTTCTCACCTTCCTAGGCAGCAGTTTAGGGATTTCAAGTCTTTCCCTGCCCTTAAGCTCTCAATCTGCCTTTAAAGGAGCTGGGTTTGGATGCTGTCAGTGCTCCTGTGTGGTTAAATAAACATGGCAGCAGATTGCCATGTGGAATCTAAGCCCTGTCAGATGCAGATCTGACCATCTACAGCATGAGCCAGACCTTATGGCTTAGGTGTTAGAATTTAATTCCTCCCAGAAGCTGAAAAATGTTCCAATGGGAAATTATTTAAAATCTTAAGCAGCTCCTTCTAGGCTTCCAGGCAAGGTTTCTGTCCTTGTATTTTAGTATGCATGGAGCTCTGAAGCTTACACGGAGAGTGATGATCTCATCTATGTGCAGTTTTTTTGCCAGTTATAAAGTTGTCCCATGGATAAATCAGGTAACAGGACTGCATCAGAGGCTGTGGTGAGAGCCAGGCTGCTTTTCCCAGTTCTGAATACATATTCATTGCTGATTTTTAGCCTAGGGGGCTAAAATTAACTCTGTACCTTGCGATACCAGTTACAGGAATCATCCGTTCTGGGGGTCCTTGATTAATAAGTATATGGAGAGCACACTGCCTTGATAGCTGTCTCCTCGGTTGCAGTTATTTTGCCACAGGCTGGGAGTTCAAAAGACTCCAAATCTCTCCTGCTTAGCCACTGTGATCTCGCAGCTCCGAGTCGCACCTCCTCGTGCGAATGTCTCTGGTGGGATTGAAGGCTGGCTGCAGTGAGGAAAGGTCAGCCGCTGGGCCCTGGGAAAGCCTGAAAGATCCAGGGCTTTTCTGTAGCCAGCAAGTCCCCCGTGAAAAGCCTGCACCTGAGCCGAACGGTTTTGATCTGAACTCTGGAATTTAGCGCTTTCTTCTGGCTACCTTCTAATTTGGCCTCGGGTCAAAATCATTTGACAAGAACAACACTGAGGACAAGTGCCCGCTCTTTTGGCCTTTATCTTTTCTAATTACCAGGAGCATCCCCGTACAATGGAGCGGCTCCTTATTCTAATCTCTTCTTCTTTACTTATCTCCATTTTCTCTCCCTCTGCTTTTGTCTTACAAAATCCCAGGCACCATTATTGAAAGGCTGGGTGCTAGGGTAAAAGGATCGTGCTGGGAGCAGCGGGCAAATGCTCTCTCAAAGCTACAGCTTATCGCTTTTTTTTCACCTGCATATTTGGAGGAAGTTTCTCTCAGCCCTGGTCTGTGTATCTCTGCTGCTGACTGGGAGCAAGAGGGAGTAACATGTTCTTTCTCTCCCTGTGTCCCACAGAGAAACCCGTCAGCCTGACTTACCGATGCCCCTGTCGCTTCTACGAGAGCAACGTGGCAAGAGCCAACGTTAAGCACCTCAAAATCCTCTCCACACCCAACTGCTCACTTCAGATTGTGTAAGTCTCTTGCTCTTTTCAGCTGGGTGCAAATCTCAGGTGTCCAAAGGAAAAGTCACTGAGCTGGTTCCTGCCTTGGTGGCTGCAGTTCAGCCTGTGTCTTACGCCATGCTTTCCAATTCATCCCTCTCTCCATGGGTCAGATACAGCTGGACCCAGCTTTACTCCAGACAAAGGAGCCCAGCTAGATGTTTCACAGCTGTGTTCTATCTTTGGGATATCCCAGTGACTATGTGATCCCCTGTCCTGTTCCCCCATGGGTATGTGAGCAGGTGTCAGGCTGTCCACCACCTTGGATGTAGAGCTTCTCACCTGGGGGAGAAGACCTTACAGTGGTCTGAGTTTTCTAAAGTTCCACTACTCCAGAGAAAACAGCTCAACAAGCAAAAGGAATAGTTGGATTTCACATAGCCTCCACAGGAGGTACAGACCATAAACCTGTGCTTGCCTGATCTAGGAACACACTTACAGGCAGTGGTTGACTTCAGTAAATCACAGAGCACAGAAATTATGAGTTCCCAATGAAAAATAATATCTTCATTTTTTGCAGATAACCCCCCACTCATTTTGCAGAAAATGAGGTGGTAAATATGTGCGTGTGTTTTTAGGGCGGTCTTTTTTGGTTTATTTGTTAAAGGATGATCCACTTCCTACTCTCCCAAAATTAAAAATCTTCAGAAGCAAAAACATAACATTCATCTTTTCATTACAAGGAAGCCTTTCTACCATCAGCTTCTGTTGACCTCCATAGGAAGGTTTTAGTGACTAGGCTGGGTTTCTATGCAGTGTGCTCATCACTAGTTCTGTCTTCAGTGCATGTTGAGCTCTTCCATTTGCAACTTCAGTTGCTGTAGAAATCCATTCTTTGTCATCCAAAACATTTCTGCACTCAGAAGATTGATGTGGTTTCATGAGATTTCTCAGGAATATACATATTTGTATCCATTCATGAACCAGTTTTAATTTTTTCTTTTTTAAACCACCCTGGATGGATCATACACATTTTCTCATGTGTGCTTCTGCCTTAGGATTTTGTGGAGGACTGTGAGAAAAATGTAAGCTTCAGCTGAGAAATAATTTATTTTCACAAAAATGGCAAAACCAGCTGTGACTAACTGATCTACCTATAAACAATTTTGGAGGCAAGCATCCAAAATAAAACAATGCATGGGTTTGTGCTCTTGGACTGTCAATGGATATCATAAGTGTCCCAGTACTACACCTTTGTAGAGGATTTGAAAATTTTTGGAGCAGTTTCAATAAAATAACAGGCATGTAAGACATGATAGAGTACACATTTGTCTCTTAATTCATGTGGGATTATAGTCATTAGAGATAGCTAAGAGCATGAAATGCAGAAACACAAACATCTCATGTTCTTGACCATTCCTGACCCAAAATATATTTGTTTGCAATGTAATTTAGTGGCACACAGAACATGTGAACCTATAGTTCACCATCTTTTTGTTACTTTATAAAAGGCAAGGTACTTAAAAACTTACTTCCAGCCAACCCTGAAACATCATGATTTTGAACTAGGTCTATTGAAACAGAAGCTGAAATGGAAATCAAAAATAACATATAAATTTTTCATCTTGATAGTTTTAAGTACACTCTGATTTTAGTGGACATGCATTATAAAATAAAGGTGTGGGTAGCTTAAAAGCTACCATTTTTAGGAATAGAGAAACTCAGGAAAATCATATAGTTTCAAAGACATATTTTGTGGTTTGGTTGTTTTTGTGTTGTTTATTTTTGTACAAGTACATTCCCTTTATGGTTCAGGGGAAATGTACATTAACAGAAAGCCTAAGAGCAGGCTTTTTGTCTTTGCCTTTGCCATCTCTCCAAAACCAGAAATCTCTCTGTCAATATCTACTTGTAGAAAGCCCACCCTAAATTCCCTGCTTTTCAGTATAGGGAAACAGGCATTTTTAACATGCAATTAATTGCATCCTGAAGTAGACACATAACCGGTTCAGCTTAACACTCACACAATTCCCATGTACAAGGAGCAGGGGCTGACAAGTTCAGAAATAATTATCTAAAAAAACCCCCAGTGTCTTAATATTAGGTGAGAGAAAATGCATTCCATGTGGCAGGAGGCTGGTTATGCGTGCATTTGTTTCTGTACCCTGCCAGGCCAGCTTAAGAGTTCCCAGGCATTGCTAACATCAGCAAATCCACTCTTGCTCCCTATTGGTATCACTTCACTGGAAATACTCCAGCTTGGCACTGCTGTAAAGGAAATATGAATTAAACTCATTTTTTTCTATATTGGCGTAGGGCTTGCAAGACAGGATCTTCAATGTGTTTATGTCACAACTCAGTTGTTGCATAACTTCAGACCAAGGAGCCTTTTTGACCTGTTATTTCTTACGCCACAGTTCTATATTCTGCAGATTTCTTTTTATAATGTGGGGAACATCTTGGCTTTCATCCAGTGGAGTGCTGAAAGAAGTACTCAACTTAGTCCTATGGGCATTTCCATGAAATTGCTGTTCTTGGCACTTTTGTATGTCCAGCAGGCTGTTTAAGGGGAAATGTCTGAGCAGCTGGGGCAGAGGCAGGTCACTCTGGGGAATGTGGGAGATCACAGTAGTCTCAAGAGGCCTTGAGATCTCTGGAAGGCAAGACCTGTTGATGGGGTTGAAAAGGTATTTGTACTTATTCTATATGAAAGATGCAGATGGCCCAAAAGCCTAATTCACAGGGAGCTCAAACTAGCTAAACAGTCTGTTGTAGAAAGCACGGCTTGGACATCCAGCAGGAACTCCTCAGGAGGTTTCTTCTTTTGTCATATGTCTGAATGAATACATGGGGAAAAACTTTAAAAAAAAAGCTATCGAGTGACCAGACCCTTTCAGAACTTCAAGAGGTGTGGTTTGGTGTCTGTCTTCAAAACATGTGAAGCTTCAATTTTGGGTTGAATCTGAAAGCTGTTCTTAATCAACTCCTTGCAAAAATGAGCTACATTTACTATGTCAGTATTTCCAAATGGAGTTTAGCTGTTGTCAGCACTGAACTCGTAACAGCCCAGGTATGAATTGGAAAACTAACATTCAAACCCTGCATATGTCCCACCCCCACATGCATCCCAGTATACACTGCAAGAATCTGCATCACAGGAGACAAATAGTACCAGAGTTTCAAAACTGGGATTATTTATAATAGGTACCTCATGGTACCATTATACCTATTCTCTTCATGGGTTAAATGAGAGCAGCACTGATACCCAAGGAAAACGAGGCATCTGCAGGATGGGGGGTTGATGTGGGCTGAGGAGCTTTGCACACTAGACTCACTCTGACTTTTTTCCTTTGGCAGTGCAAGGCTCAAGAGCAACAGCAAGCAAGTGTGCATTGATCCTAAGTTAAAGTGGATCCAGGAGTATCTGGAGAAAGCTTTAAACAAGTAAGGCAAGAGACAAATGGACTTAACAGCTAACATCCTGAGTTATTAAAGGGTAGAACATTAAGGGCTGGCTTTTACCATGTGGACAAAGTTTCGAAGATGAGTTTGGAGTTGACCTAGTCTGTTAAAACAGCAGCTTCTAGTACATCCCAAATGTTAAACTAAGTGTTTTGCCAGAGTTTGGGGCAAAATCTATCCTAATGAATCTATTCTGGGGTACCCAACTCATCCTTTTTTTAAAAAAAAAAAGCCGTTCTCCCAAGGAAAATGCTTCCTTTATGCCCCCTCTTCCCCAAGTCAAACTACAATTACTTCAGAACTCATATTGTTCCTGTTTCTTTGGAGCCCCTTCTCCATGTTACACTGGGGGTCTGTTTGCACAGGCAGATGAGGCCAAGGGAGTCTTGGGGCTAAAATTTGCTTCTCTACTAGCCAGCGCACAGTGCTGTTAATATCAGCCAAGATGAGATGTGCTGCCATGAATAAGGCTCTTCCACAAGGCCAAGGGAAAATCAGCTGTACTTGGCAAATTCAGACTTTTAAAATCTATTTTTATTCCCTTTGAAAGCGGGTGACTCTGACTACTCTGAGGTGGACCCAGCCTATCTCAGTTCAATTTTCTGGTAACCAAGAGCAGCACTGAGAACATTTCCATGCTGAGTTGCAGGGGACGGTTCCAGTCTTCCTGGGATGAAAACTGAGACATGTGATGGTACAAAGTATTTCCCTGCTTGCCCAGAGCCCTACTGCAGTAAGTCCAGCAGTGGAATTTTGGCCAGCAAGCCTACCTGTGCCTTCAGTACCCCTCCCACCCTTGCCACCACATTCCCACCCCTCAATAACCTCACTGTATGCTGGACCTTGTCACCCCTGCATCTGTAGGGTAAAGGCAGGGCTGGAATCCAGTCATTTGCAAAAGCTATGCATTCTTAGAGAAATGTTGGGAAGGGTATGGCCCCAGGGCAGATGTGAGGCAGTACGGGTAGCTGAATGCCCTCCACTCTTTTCTTTGTAAATGGATCTGCAAAACAAAGGGCAGAGTTTGGAAAAAAAAAAAAAAAGAAAAGAAAGGTCTGTTCTCCTGTGTTTTTGCAATAAGCAAGAGGAAAATGCTACCAGAAGTAGCAAGATTTCTCCATGTAGCCCTCTTGGGCCAAGAGTGAAGAGGAGGAAGCAAGTAGACCAGCTAACAGACTGTGATTCCAGCCCTGACAGCTTTTCCCATCTCATCCATTGCTCAGTGCCTTCTTTGCTTCCAGCACTCAGCCCTTTTGTCCTTTGGGCAAGTTCTCTGCAGAGGTAAATCAGGCTAATGCTACCAGGATGGTTTTGAATATAGGCACAACTGAATGTAAGACCAGGATGTGGGCCTATGCTGACTATTCTAGAGGCTTGAGCTACTTTGTTTTCCAGCTCAGGAAAATCCTCATGCCCCTGCTTAAGTTTCAGTTTGTTGTCATCCCCAGTGAAGCCCTTGGTACTGCTCATAAGACCTGAAATTTAAGAAGTGCTTCAGAAATTTGTGGGGTTGGGCAAATATGATTATGTGCTCAGATCTTGCTTGCCTGACTTAGGACAACAACTCACCTGGAACATGTTCTGCTCTCACTTCCACAAGTGAAGATCCAGGGCCAGCTCTACTGAAACCAGTGAGCCTGTGCCTGATTTCCAGCCAGATTCTGAGTTTTGTTTACCTAACACTAATCCAGAAGCAATTCTGATAATTTGGTGAATTTCATCCTGGTTTACATTGAGTAACAGAAGAAAATTTGGTCTGAGCTCTATGAAGTAAGGTGACAGAAAGCATATATCTCCAACACCTGATCCTGTAATCCTGGCATTGTTTTTGTATTCCAACTAGTAATGTTATCACTAGTGGCATTTTTTTGTATTCCAGCTAGTAATGCTATCACCAGGGGCATTTTCATGCTCCACAGACAGTCAGGGGTCTGTCTGTAGCATTTTCACAAGGCATGTTTTTGTTATATTTTAGTGCACAGCTTTGATTTCTTCAATGAAATGTACTTTGGAATATATTTATAGCGCATCAAACAATTCATATATTTGAATTGGAGCCATATGAATGTTGGTAGTTTAAAACACCAATATCCCTCTAAACTACTAACAGTTTGTAAAATAAATCTATATAGATCTATAAATGTTAATGTAGCTATCAATTTCAATCAGCCATATATTATATTTTTTCACTTGTACTGAAATTGTATGAAATGTGACAATACCCTATATGCACTAGCAATAAACTGGCTAATTGTTTCATGTTATGAAAACCCAATTGTACATGGGAATTTATTTTTCTGGAATAAAATCAATACGTTTTGTAGAAAGGGCTCTTGTAATTGCTTAAGTAAAATCAAATTTGTCAAAACATCTTAATCTATACCAGTGCTTTAATACAAGAACATTTTCTGTTTTATAATGTGCAGCTAAGGGCATGGAAAAGTTCATAGAATATGGTAGTCCAATGTTTGTGAAACTAGAGATGGTTTTAGTAGGGAATTATTTTTTTCTCACTAATTCTGCTTAGCCTTTATTATTGCTTTATATTCATCACATCTCCATGTAACATACACAGTTCTGAGATATCAGTAAAATACATTCAGGCTGTCAGGAATTCACATTCCTTAACAGGCTTTAAAAATCATTGTGCAGCTGCTGTGGCCAACATCATTCAGCATTCATCCATTTTATAGACAAGGTGCAAACCAGTACTTTCTTGAAATAGCTAACAAACCCTTTATCACTTCCAGGCAATTCCAGTCATCATTTACAGCACATTGACAGCCTTTCCTTTCTCTCTTCATGCAAGGATATGCAACATCAGGCCTTTGCAGAGTTAACAGAGCCCAAAACAGCAACCAGTTTGCCAGCTGTCAGGTTAATATAGTCCCACCACGGAAATTCCGGTATTCCAAGATGCTGGAGTCCATTAAGCTCAGTGGCTACTGCTGGCACAGATGAGGGAGCTGATGGATCTGGAGAAGATAAACAAAGTCAAATAGGAAAAACATTTCTCTTGAGCCCACTGGGAGAAAGGAAAATCCCAACTTGTAGGGGCTGTCTGTGATGGGAGCCAAGCCCTGCTGCTGCCTTCCTACATAGTATTTGTTAGCCCTGGTGCGGCAGCACTTCCTGGTTTCTGACCTCTTTTGTTAATAAGGGCTGAAATGCAAGATGCCAAAACAACTACCTCTCAGTACTCCATGAAGCATGTGCTAGGTGGATGACCCACATCATGGGGGACAATGTAGGTGACTATCTTTACAGCCTTGTTTTAAGGCATTAGATGTCCACAAATCCCATAAAGTAGACACCAGTTCTTGTTAATGTCAGTGGGAACGCTGGACTGGAAGCCAGAAATTCAGCCTCCCTCTGCTTTCATTGTACCTCAGGGGTTACAGTGCGGATGATGAGGCCCCTGGCTGACAAGTTCGAGCAGGCATTTGGGGAGGCTTCAGTGTTTTGGGGAAAAGAGTTGTTCTGGTTTCAGAATTTGCAAAATTCCTGACATCATGGCACTCTCATTTGCCTAGCATCCTCTGAGGCAGAGGGTACCTGAAAGGGGATGTTATCATCATTTTCACCCTGCCAGCAAGACGTGAAGGGACCATAGAATGAATGTGAATATGGTCTTTGTATATGGATAATTTATGGCAGTCTTTTTTGTATTTTTCTTTTAATTTAGACCACGTCATCGCACTCATAAAAAAAAGCAACAGAAGAAACGGGGCCCACTCTGCCCTTCCCGTGCAACACCACTAAAGTCTCCAGGGAGAAAGAATGGTAGGAGGCATTAGTTTGTGAGCTGGGATACCTCAGGTTAAAATCCCTGCTCTTCCACTGACCATCCTATGTAACCTTGGGCAAATATGTTAGCCTATCCAGACCTCCTTTTTTTCCTATATCTGTTGAGGTTAACTTCTGTATCTGCCCTGTAGAGCAGCATTATATAGATAAAACTCTTTAAACAGGGGAAAGTTCAGCCACAACAGAGGTGGGAAAATTTTTGCATTTTAAGGGTGGAAAAATGGACACCCAAAGAGGCCAAAATAACCCTGAAGTAAAGCCAAGGTTAAAAACAGGGTAAAGGTTTGAAAGCCCTATTTCTTTTAGCTGGCCATATTCCTCCAATATCAAACTGTCAAACTATAAATAACAACTGTGAATTTATCACTGGTGTTTTTTTAACTACATATGCAGCACTGTGTGGTGACAACATGGTTTGGTGCATTGGTGACTGGGTGGTATGTCTCCAATGGGAGATGCAAAGCAAGTCACAGAGAATGGTGTTACTTGTGCCAATGCTCTGGATGTCCCAGTTGCTTTTGTTTTACCACCAGTGTGATGTGTCCTACCTTTCTGTACCAAAAGAAACAGGGTTACTCTTGTGGGGTATTAAAAACATATATTCAAAGAGGAAAATTTTACTCATGGCTTAGTCATCTTTATGCCTAGATGAGTTTTCCAAGGCTACCTTCTTCACTGAGAGTAGCATCAGTCATCTTTGGTTGTGGTCACACTGTCTTACTTGTCCAGCAGGCATTATTGAAAGGGATGCTTGTTCTGTTCCTGTAGGCTAGATGAGATGTACTCGGACATCAGCGTTTTTGAATACCTGGTGTTTAACCCTCTGACACTTGTAGCTTAGCCTTCATGACCTCATCTAGATTGTTAAAGGCCAATAAGCCTGGAGCAAGAGTAGAGGTCACTTCAGGCAAAACCTGGAGGACACCAGCACAGACTGCCTCTTTGTTCTGAGTGAACCCTGCACACAGTACACTTGCACTTTGCTGTGATGCTTAACCCACCACTGGCCCTGTGTTCCATGCTCACACTGAGCATGGGAGACTCAATTTGTCTGCCTCCTACCCTGAACTCCCTATCTCTGCTCTTAATGCGTCACACATTTACTGTGCAGCATGTGACTTCTTGCCTCCCTGTCACCCCACCTTCACTGGGCAGCTGGTCACCACGTTGTGCCACCCAGCTGCTCACACTGGGTGAGGCCGCAGAGCAGGGAGGCCATGGGGATGTCTCCTAGCCAGGCAGAATACTTGAAGGCCTCTGCCCTCAGATCACCTCGTGGTAGGAGCTGAACACCAAAAAGAGCACAGCATGTGCTCTGTGTTCATTCATCCTCACAGAGGCCTGACACCCTGTGGAGCTGCAGTCCATGATCTCCAGCAGAGCTATGGGGGAGGTGCAGGTAGAGGAGGCATTCCTGGTGCCACTTGCTCCAGTAGTCTGGGGCCACTCACAAATGATTAATCCCTCCTCATGGCTGTTGGGTTGTTGTGGGGTTTTTTGCCACGTCTCTTTGCCCTCTCATAATTCTTTGCTCTGCCTTTCAAGTCCAGAATAAGCTTCCTAGTCAGCCTTCCTTCTATGTTAGCTGTGAACACCTTACTAACTGTGATGAGTACAACCTGCCCAAAATAACTATTGCTGGGTTTACCCTGTTGGGTCCCAGTAGCTCCTTGTGGAGAACTTAACCCCAAATGTCTGACAAATACTGGTTGGAGGGGCTGCAAAAGAAATGCCTTTGGGTTAGTCCAGACACAGATTTGCTGTTTGACTAGGCCTGATATCAAAGCTTTTGCAACTGAAATAAACCTTAATAGTGTTTCACTCTGTTCTTCATCAACAGGAGGTTCAAGATGTAAGAGGCAAGCATTGTAAGCCGTCTACAGGATTTCTTACTGTAGGACCCAGAGAGCAGATAACCAGTATTAGGGAATGAATACATTTCACTGTTATCATGCAGCACAAAAGCAACGCTTCATGCATTTCCAAGGGTGTTGGGGTTTGAGTTTTTTGGTTTTTGTGTGATGTTTTTTTGTTCATGTGGTTGGTGGTTTTTTAGTTGTTTTCTGTTGTTGTTTTCCACAAACTGGCTTGCTTTCACAGTGCTATTTTTATATAATAAGATGTAAGTATTTGAGAAAACTATGGTTTTATACAGGTTGGTTTATTACCTAGCACTGAGGGCAGATATGAATTTAAACTAACAACATGTTATTATGTAATATTTTATTTCATTTGTTATGTAGACATCCTGCTTTATTTAACTTTCTTTTGGTTCATGCAAGTCTCCTGGAGTTTTAAACCTAGAAGGACATGAACTGTACAGTGCAATGATATTGTGTAATTAGTGGAAGGACTCCTTGCCTGCAGAAGTCATCGAGGCCAAGAACATAGGAAAGCTAAAAAACATCAGACATTGATGAAAGTGGACAGCATTACTGTGGGTGGCATTTATATGTATTTTGTGTGAGGAATTAAACTCAGGGCTACAGGGCTAAAGCCCTTCTCCATAGATCATAGACCTTGGTGATGGCTATGAGCAGCTGGGTCAATGCAAATCTGGTTTTGTAGGATGCTAGTAGTTAGCTTGTAGTAGTTGTGTGTGTTAGGAGCCACAACACTGATCTGATGTCACCTGGCATTTCCTATGTTCCTGTGTTTCTGATGAAAAATTTTAGCACAAAAAGGAATGTGTTATTAAGGACTAACCACACGATTACATTGCAAGTTGCTAGAGGGGTCAGATATGCTGCCGTGCACCAGGTGTCTCTTCCCACCCATCCACAGGAGGTGTCTTCATCTTGCCTGGCTAGCTTTGCACTGAAGTATGTGGAGATGCATTCATGTGACCCTTCACCAAGGACACTGTAGCCTTGGCTACTAAATAGTCACACAGACCTGAAGGCAGTAACAGCTTTGATTGCTTTGGAGATACCCAAAAGAAGATATCTGGCTATATCTTTGGAGAAAAGAGATGCCTGGGCCAAGAGGGGGTCTGCTCCATGTGTGGAAAGACTGGTGTTACTGAGGTGTAGAAATGAAGGCCAACACTTGCTGTCCACCGGCAGTCACGGCCCTGTTTGCTGGTTAACAGGACAGCCTCTGGAATTTCCTTTGCAAATTACACCCAGGGACAAGTACCACTTCTTGCACCAATGTGCTGTCTCAGCCAGAAATGTGTTTATCCTGATTCCTACCTGCATATGCATGATTTTTTATATATAGTGTATGGGAAGACAGCTGCAGTACTGTGATAATCATGTGATGCTGAGCACTGGGACTGGGGGGAAGCACATTTGTGCAGCACAATGCTTGTGTCTGTATGTGTGTTGTAGATAAAAAAAATGTTGTAAGATGGTAAATTCTTTTGAGCAGTTTGCTTCAAAAAGAATCGTCCTTCTTCCTTGCAGCCTGTGTCAGGAACACTGAGAGGGGTGTTTCACTAAGCACTGTTTTTCATGGCAAGCATCTTTAGTGCAAAAGAGGCACTTCAGCTAGGAATGACCTTATTTCCATGTGGATTCAGGTAAAAATCTTATGGTTTCCTCTCTGTAAAACAATACAATTACAGAATGCTTCAGCTGGGACCCCATCACTTTATTTGCTTTAAAGTAGAAATCAACTGCTAAAAAGTATGTGCCTAAAAAGTATGTGTGTGATTTTGACTCTCCTTCTGTTGTTACCATTACCAGCCTGGTGCTTTAAGTCTATTGTGTCTCTGTTTTGAAAGGTCTGGTACCACTGCACTTGATGAGAACTGGAGTGTTGATTTAATTAGAATAGGATCGGATCCTCTGTTGTAACGGTAAAGACAGAAAGAACTTTTATGAGAAAACTAGAATGTCTTGTGTCTTCCCTGGACTGTACTTTATATCCTAGGGTCCATCTCCTGTCCCCACACATGCACCTGCAATTGCTAATCATTTGCAAGAGGCAAATGTGTGAGTGTTAAAGACAAGAATGACTTTTGGGAAAGAGTGGAAGAATCTTGATTCTCCCACAAATATGGAGCTTGCCCTTCTCCCCCAGGAAGGTGCATTCTTCACACTTACTCCCCATCAAAGGAAAACTTGAGATCCTCTGGTGTAAATGGAAAGTCAAGTAATCCTCTGATTTTGATTCAACAGCATAAATTGCTAATGATGATAAAGGCCATGAAGGTTTTGTTTCTAAAGAAAACATCAGATTTCCAGTAGAAAGATGGGGTGGGTAGATATGACTGTACAGCCTTTCCAGTGCTCTGCTGTGGTCCTCATTAACAGAGAGTGCATCTGGGGTCAACATACACAAAGAAAGGTCTCTGGGCACATGCCAAGCCCACATTACAGCCTGAGCAAACAGACTACTTTGACAGAAGCATTGAGATGGGCAGAGGGCTGGAGCTCCTGAAGCAAAGCCCAGGGTTCCAGCTTGGGACAGTAATAACCAGATAGTGGAGATACTGCAGAAAATGGGTTAACTTGTCAACCTTCTTGAGGCAAACCAGTAGATACTACAGGGCTAGACTGTGCTAAAAGAAGGGTATTTGTGCTTGGGAGAAACAGATGAGTAGCAGCAGGAAGGAAAGGAACTCTGCCAGGCTAGGGCATTTACAACCAGGTGGTGGTTGTCTGGGTGCCTTTTGGGCTGTCTGCAGCTGGCATTTCTTTGAGCGTCACACTGGATCCTGACACCAAAGCACCTGTGTCTATTCAGTATTCATGTAGATGAGACCATTCAGGGCATGGAGCTGCTCTTGGGGGTACAGCATTATGTCCCTCCCTTATCTGGGCATGGTTGACCCCAGCATGAGTGCAGGTGTGGCACACACCAGGCCAGAAGTAACTGAAGTCTTCAGTGAGAACATGATGAAAGCTTTCTCTTGCTTTAGACCAAAACTCAAACTCAAGGAGGAAGCTTTGTTCTTTGCCTGACATTATCTGCATGATGCATCAGGAGGAGCAACATTACCTTTCATGCCAGGGAAATCAATCACTTGGCTGCCCTGGGCACCCTGTGCTTCCTGGTGCATCACACCCTGTTTCTTCTGTGCATCCCACGCTGTTTCTTCTGCACACACCTCAGCCTTAGAAGGCTGAGAAGCAGCATTAGCAGAAAACCACTTGAGGAGAGCACAAGATTTTCCTTTCTGCCTTTAACTGTTGACCAAAGACACAATCAGGGAAAAAACTTTGGGGAGATGAGTGTGATATAGGGACTACACATGAAGAGAAGGAAGGAAAAAACACTGAACAGATGCTGAAAAAGCAGCTTCCATAAATGTGAAAATGTCACGTGTGGTATTTTCAAAGTGCAGCTGTCAAATCCTGAGGTTGGATTATTATTTTTTTTTTAAAGAATAGATGGTATTTATTGCTGTGCTAATTTTTTATTTATACTTGCTTGATAATTGTATGTAGTCATATCTTACCTGAATTCTGACTGAGGAAGGATGAAGGGTGACTTTCTGATGTGTTTTTAACTGAGATCTTTCAGTAAAGATGACTGTTCAATTTTGCAATGAAAGCTATATTTGAAGTTAAATATACAGATTTTTTGAAAATGCAGCTCCTATAGAAGTTTCTGTTACTATTTTCCCTTTGTTAGCATCTAGAGGGTCCTTCTTTTCTCTGGCAAATTATTTTGAGTAATGTGATTTAAAGTAACCAGGGTTTTTTTTGAGAACGCATCACCTAAAATCTGAAATTTTGTTTTTACCAACATTCCACCAAGACAAGCCTTTTCTGCAAACATGAAACTCTGGTGGCCACAGAGAAGAAAATGTATCATGATGAAAGGACTGCATGAACCTCCCATCTTCCACTCCTTAGGAGCTCAGTGTGGTAAATATTGTACTTCATATTTTTATTAGGTAAAAGGAAGTATCTTCCCAAATAATGTGAAAAAGGGCTTGTATTTTTGTTCCTATAAGGCAGCTTTTATGGACAAGTTATACTGTGCTTTTCAAATTACTCCTTTCATAGAATATTTTTTAAATAAACACATTTATATTGTAATTTCTCCCATAAATGTGTATGCACTTAAAATTTCCCTAATAAAAATGTCTACCTAAATGAAATTATACATGCTTTTGCTTTTTCTTTTGCTCATATACAAGCAGCTAAAATCTTCACATCAGAAAAAAACATTCAGAGGTACTTTAAGTGTCCAGTTTCAAGGATGCTTCTATGTAGCCACGTCAGCTCAGACTCTGCAGGGAACCTGAGGCAAAATGCCCACAGGGTTTGGCAGGGAGCAGCAGCCTAGCAGATTGAAATGTGACTTTGAAAAAGAAGGGGCGGAACGGGGAGGGTTTATTGTTTTGTTTTGTTTTGTTTTCGTTTTCTTTTCCCAGCTTGTCTTCTGCAATAGGTTTTCAGTGGAATCGAAAACTGTGAGCTGGTTTTGAGGCAGCAACGAGGATGTCATCATCCTCTGTGCTGGAGAAGGGATGGAGGTTTCTTTGAAAAGCCTAAAGGATGTCAGAGGATGTCTTTGATAAAAGAGCAGATGTTGTGAACAACAGCCTCCTTGGGGATGGTTTTCCCAGGGCACAGCAGGGTCAGACTTCAATATGGAGGTGGGGATGGTTTTAGAGGCTTGTAGGACTGGCTTGAGAACCTGGAGGAATAAACCTCACTTGGATGATTGTCACAGGGAATTTGCTGTGAGTTTCAAAACAATGAGTAAAAAACTGGCTTTTGTCAGTTCCTTCCCTCATCTCCAAGTCCCCATGGCAGAGGAAAAGTGTCTCCTCAAGTGGCCCTGTTTCCTTCACAGCTGCCCTGTCCCAGCATGCCAGTTCTTCTGGGTCCATCCGTTGCAACCACACAGGTGAATCGCAGCCCTAAGTACAGCTCTGGCTGGAGCAAAGGTTAGGGATAATTTAATATCTC